CATCTCAGTGTCCCCTCTGGCACGTTCAAGCCATTCCCAAGGTCCTGTCCCTCCAGGCCCTTGGCCAAAGGTCCTCTCCACGTGTCTTGGGTGGGTTCCTGAAGCTGCTTTGCTTCCAACCCTCCTTCACCCTCCTTTCTCCTGTGTGTAACATCTACTACAGCTTTATGGGGGGGGGTCTTCTTCTTCCTTCCAGGCCAAAAAGAGCAACAGGTCCTTGATGAAGGTCTTCTTGGTGTGTCTCCTGGCCTGTGTCCTCACCACAGCGATCGGGGTCCTCACCTTGTCCTTGGTCTACGTGAGCGACAGCACCTACAGGAGAGAGGTGGCTGGTGGAGCTGGTGGAGCTGGTGGAGCATCTCCTCCCACAGCAGCTGGGAGAAGCTCGGATGGGAAGTTCCAGTTCCTGAACCACCTGAGGAAGTCCAAGGTGAACCTCGGCGCCGCCGTGTCCTAGTGTCACATCCAGAGGTTGGAGCTGCTGGACCTGGTGTCCATCCCTTTATAGTCCATTGGGAGAACACAGATCCAGATGTGCCGTGGAATGGGTTGGGCTTGGAAAGGACCTTCCAGCTCTTCTAGTTCCACCAGGGCCACCCGGAGGAGGTTGCTCCAAGCCCCATCTCCCACCTCTCTGGCCACCCCACTCCAGCGTCCCACCACCTTCATGGTGAAGAACTTCATCTACGCTCCCATCTCCGTGTCCCCTCTGGCTGCTTCCAGCCATTCCCAATATCCCATCCCTATATTCCCATATCCAAAGCCCCTCTCCCAGGTCTCTTGGAGCCCCTTTAGGCCCTGGAGCTGCTCGAAGGTGTCCTCAAGAGCTTCTCCTCCCCCACCAGCCCGAGTCCTTCTCCTCAGGGTGACTCCATCCACGTGTGTTTGGACTCAGGGTTGAAGGACCTTCCTCTTGGCTTGCTTGAACTCCACCAGGTTCACATGGGCCCAACCTCTCCAGGTCCTTCTGGCCCCCATCCCACCCCTCCAGCTCCCCCCAGCCAGCCTGGTGGCACCACAAGCCTTGCTGAGGGGGCTTCACCCCATTGCCCACGTTGCCCACAAAGCTGGAGTAGTGCCTCTAGTAGCTTCTACTACCAGGTAGCAAAGGCGAAGACCTTGTAGCTCCTCCAGAGGAACCCTTTGAAGACACCTAGAGGTAGGAGGAGTATGGGGGAAAGGAGGTGCAAGGAGGTCGGAAGAGTGGGAATTGGCTTGGGAATCCTTCTGGATCCCAAGGTTGAAGCTCTTCCCGAGGTGAGATCCCAAATCCATGTCCCCCCTGACCCAAAAGAGGAGGAACGGGTCCATTGGCTCCTTCTCTCTGGCTTGTAGCAACAAGACACTTGGAGAAGAGGAGGAATGTTTGGGAATGGGGTTAAAATCCAGCCCGGAGCGAATCCTTACGGAGAAGTGGGAAGGGGAACCCTCAAAGCTGGAATTCCCTGTGTGGGAATGGTTTCCTTCACCCCTTGTTGATGGGATTCTCCCTTCTTGGCAGGTTTATACCTATCCCGGTGGTGAAATCCAATGGGCCCGATTCCGGAAGGATCTTCTGGCTTATGGAAGCGAGGAAGAGCTGGAATTTGGGAGGAGCCTCCATCTCCATCGCTCCCAAATGACTTTTGGGACTCTGAGGATCAAGAGCAAAGGTCTTCGAGCTCCTCACTGGCATTTCAACGCCAACGAGCACGGCTACTTGCTCCAGGTAGGAGCTGGTGGGCTTCAACCAGGTCGGAACAGACCTGGAAGTACCACCAAGGGCCACCTTCCACTGGAGCAGGTTGCTCCGAGCCATTCCAATGTGCCACCAGCCTCCTGGAGAAGACCTTCTGCCCAAGAAGCCCATCTCCAGGGCTCCTCGGGCAGGTTCCAGCCATTGCCATTGTCCCGTCCTTCCCTCCTTCCTCCAAAGCCCTTCTCCAGGTTCTTTAGGAGGAAGTTCAGCCCCATGAGGACATCGGATGGAGAAGCTGGGGCTGCCCCACGCGTGGCGCGAGGCCACCTTGGAGCACCCTCCTCTGGTGGAAGGTGGCGCTGGCAGCACCTGGAGGAGGAGCTGCTCAAAGGTCCCTTCCAAGGCCAACTTGGTGGCACGTGCTGGTGTTGCAGGGTTCTGCTTGGGTTGGAGTGATTGGAGCAGATGACAGCGTGGTCACCACCTACAACGTGACGGCCGGGCAAGTGGTCTTCTTCCCTCGGAACACCGTGCACTGGCTCAAGAACGTGGGGTCAGAAGATTGCTTGTTCCTGCTCTTCTTCAGCACCCATGAGGAGCTCCAGACCTTGGACGTCGATGACGCTTTCTTCTCTACCCCGGAGGACGTAGCAGCGAGAGCTTTGAAGGTGGGCACCCCAGGAGAACCTCTCGCCAGCTCCACCTTCTCACCATCACCGAGGCACCCCAGGTTCTCCTTTCTCCCCCCCTCTCCTTCATCTCTTTAGTGCCATCAGGGTGGCTGGAGGTGCACAGGTCCTCAGCGTCACGCTGGGCCACCCAGTGGCTCCACTGCTGGTGGTGGTCCCTCCGAGGACCTTCTTCTCCTCCACTCTTCACGTGGTTCCAAGGGTGGAAGGAGAAATGACATAGGAAGGGCCAAACCTCGTGTCCCAAAGCTCCTTGTGTGAGAAGAACCCATAGGAACCTCTTGGTAGCTCCTCCATAAGGTGGATCTTCCTTGATCTCCCTCGTTGGTGGTGTCCCATGAGCCAGAACATCCAGGGATGTCCACATGGCCGAGCTTCCTCTACCACCGGGTCCCGAGGTGGCACATTCAGCTTGGACATCCCCCTTTGGTGAGTGGTGTCCATCTGCTTCACCTGCACTGTCTTCTCCTGCAGCCTGTCGGTGGTGTGAACTTCATCAGAACCTTCCAGAAGCAAGCAGAAGACCAAGCCATCAACCTGCCCCCCAACTTGGAGGAGCTGGTCCAAAACGCCACCTACGTGCAGTCTCCAGCCCACCAGGTCTGGAGGTACTTCTACGACCTCAAAGGTATTGAGCTAAGCCCTTGGGGTCCAAGAGCACTTTGTGGTCCAGGAGCTCTGGTGGCACCAGCGCCAAGAGTGAGAGATGGAGAAATGAGGTGGGGTCTCCAGGGAAGACCTTAAAGCACCTTCCAGGGTCTAAAGGGGCTCCAAGGAACCTGGAGATGGACCAATGGGAATGGCTTGAACGTGCCAGAGGGGACGTTGAGATGGGAGCTGAGGTCTTCACCTTGAGGTGGTGGTGGTTGGGGTTGGGACATTGCAATGGGTTGACCAGAGAGCTCGGAGATGTCCCATCCCTCCCAGTGTCCAAGGCCAGGTTGGACGGGGCTTGGAGCAACGTGCTCTGGTGGAACCGGGTTGAGCTTGAAGGTCCTCAACCTTCATGATGGTACCATGAGATCCCTTCTTCCTGGGCTCCATGGCCTGACCTTGCTGAGCCCCATCCCGTGGCCTTCCCACTCCGTTGCCCGCGTTCCCAGCGGGAATCATGGGATGCTTTGGCTTGGAAAGGACCTTCCAGCTCGTGCCATGGACCACCCCGCGATGGTGGCCATTGGACCACCTCCAACCCCACTGAATGAAGCCGGTGGGAAGTGCTCGTGGCTTCTCTTGTAGGATCAGCAGAACATCCTTTCCCAGGAGGACTCTTCCAATGGGCTCGGTACCGCAGGGATGGCGCCGGCTTAAATGAGACCGAGAAGATCTTCAGCGAGTCCCTCAACAAGGTGCTGCCCCGTGGAACCTGTGGCTTCTGCTGCCCCAGGAGCAGGGAATGGGGCTGGCTTGGAAAACTGGGAGCTGGTGGGGCTGCTTCTGACCACCTTGCGTGGACTTGTCTTCTCCTTTGCCAGCATGAGAACACCTTGACGTTGGCCACCCTCCGCATAAGAAGCAACGCGCTGGGTCAACCACACTTCCACTTCAACGCCAATGAGATGGGCTATGTCCTCGGTGGCTGTGGCCAGGTACCTCCTCAATCCCTGCCCATGGGGTTGGGAATCTCCTCCAGGCCTTAGGAAGCGCTTCCGCGAGGAACGTTACTACCAGTAGTAGCGTTACAAAGCCTTAGCGGGCACCTTCGCCTCCTCCATCCGCTCTTCGGGTGGCCTCTTGTTACGGAAGGCTGAGGAGCAGTGGGATGGAGCAAGGAGCCTCCAGCCATTGGGAAGGTCCATCTTCTTGGCCAGGGGGTTGCTTGGAATCCCTCTGGATTCCCCAAATCCTCCGGGAAAGCCTGGATCCTCCACTCCCAGACCTATCAGGATGGATCCAGCCATTCCCAGCATGGAGGAGGTGGAACATTCCCGTTCTCCTTCCCACCAGGTTGGAGTTATCCTCTCTGGAAGCAGCACCAGCTTCAACATTGACATTGGAGATGTCATCTTCTTCCCTGTTGGAAGCCAACACTACATCAAGAGCGTGTGTGAGGAGGACCTGCTTCTACTCCTGGCCTACAGCACAGGAAACCAGGTGGGAGCTCCTGCTACTCCTAGGTGTAAGATCGGAGAAGCACGAGGAAGGGACCTCTGGAGGTCATCTAGTCCCACCTAAAGCAGGGTAACAGGGACAGCTCAAGGTGGGTTTGGGAGGGCTCCAAGGTCCTTTCCAAGCCAACCCATTCCCTGGATCCATGATCTACAT